TTTTAATATTTGCTAATTATTTATGCTGGTCATCTTTTTTGATGTGAAGGTTTATCATTTTTCTTTGAGGTTACCCTGTGATTTATAGTTTTCTTCCCAGGTTTAGAACAGTCTGTTCTATCTTGTAGTTGTCTTGACTTCCCTACCATCTAGAAGTTCTGTAATGACACAATTTTTTTCCCCTTTTTCTGGTTTGTAGTTGTTGTCATTTGTCAATTGATGTTCCTGGTTCCCTGTTTGCAATCTTGTAGGCTTCTTTACTTTGGAAACTTCCATAGCTGGGTTGGTTTCTGGGTTATATCATCATGTGTGTTAATGGTCAGTTGTTGAGTGTTGTTGCTTCTCTGTCCAAAGGGCTCCCTTTAGCATCTCTTGTAAGGTTGGTCTGGTTTGAAAAATTCCCTTAATTTCTGCTCATCTGGAAATGTCCTAATTTTACTATCATATTTGAGGGACAGTTTTGCTGGGTACATAATTCTTGGTTGGAATTTTTTCTCTTTCAGTGTTTTTTATATACCATCCCATTGTCTTCTTGCCTGCCTGGTTTCTGCCAAGAAATCCGAGCTTAGTCTTATTGCTTGCCCCTTGTAGGTAACTTTTTGTTTTTCCCATGCTGCTGTCATGATTCTTTCTTTGTGTTTGGTTTTGGTAAGTTTGATGATGATATTCACTAGTTGACAACACTTATACACTCACCACCTGTCTCCGAAATTTCCTGTTGTCAGCCTGTCGAATATCCCTGCCGATCTTGTCAAACAGAGCCCATTCTTAGGTCCCTGGAATCTGAATGAGAATGCTATCACTTTAAAATCTAAAATGATTGCCACTTGTAAAGATTCAAAATGGCTACACCCTCGGTCACTTTAAATATCCAAAATGGCTGCCACTTGTAAACATTCAAAATGGCTACACCCTTGGTCACTTTAAATATCCAAAATGGCCATTGCTTGTAAGCATTCAAAATAGCTACACCCTCGGTCACTTTAAATATCCAAAATGGCTGCTGTGTGTAAACAATCAAAATAGACGTGCCCTCCGGACAGTGGAAAGTCAATAGCTCAAATTGTTTCCCTCCTTGCTGTTTCCCTTCTTAGTCATAGGCCACCAGCATAGTCATCCCTGTAGCCCTTGGTGACCAGGGTTGATCATTAGGTCAATTCTCAGGCACCAACACCACTTGGAAGTATTCAGGCTATTGGTCTCATCAGAGTAGCTGACAGTCCACAGCTCCGACCGTCTCTGTACTCACTGTTTTTGTTCAGGTTTTTCCACTAGTTGGTGCCTAATCCACTTCTGCATAGTTCCTTTCAAAGCTCAGGGCTCCAGGATTATCTCCTGTACCTCTGTCAATTGGTTTTTCTTTTCTTTGTTGAGGAGAGTCTGTGTCGCTTGTCTGCCTCTTCCTCCATCTTACCAGAAGTCCCCTAAATTAACCTTATTTTTACACCACTCCCCTCCACCCATTGTCTTTCGGTACTGTATTCTGGGAGTTTGCTGGGATGCTATCTTCTCATTCACAGGTCAGTCTTCATGTATATATTCAGCTGTTCAGCCCATGCTTTCAATTTCATTTATTCATGAAATATTAATTTCTATGAAATAATGACTTGCATCTTTCAGAATCTTAAAGTAGATTCATTCCCAAGTCTTATACTTTGTGCTAAGGCTGTAATTTCTTCTGTTATTTGACCTTGGTGTCTCCCTTAGCTCAGATATTTGATGGTTCTTGGTGTTGTCCTTGACTTGGTCCTTGACTCCCTGTTGGCTTCTCTTGCATGGCTGTATCATCTCTTGCAGGCTGCTTATAAAGGGAAACCAGCAAGCTTTCAGGTGTGCAGCCTGTCTCCAGTGACTGATGGGATGGTCAGGATGTCAGGCCAGCAGCAGAATGGGGCCCCTTTCCCTCCTGTGTTTGTCAGCCTATTGGGCCTGCCCTGAGCCTTATCTGAGAGCCTATATGTACTGCCTGGTGAAGGGCACACATTCCTGCTGTTGGCTGCCTGGCCCAGGGGTATTGGCTACTCCCACTGTGGTGCTCTAACTGGATGCTTCATCACATCCTCCAAGTCCACTTCCTGTCCCTAGTACTTACCAGGGCAAGGCATGTCCTTGGACCTGCTCCCACATTTTGTAGCTCTACCCTCCTGGCATATTTTAGGTTATGGCTTCTATCTTCAGTCTAATCTCAACTGTTTTATTTTATTTTTCTGGGATCCCTCATGGTCCCCCCATTGTTTTAGTGCACTTTTGGAGTTACTTAATTCTTGCCTTTCCAGTCATCTTCTAGAGAGTGGGTATGTGAGTATCAGGGGAGGGCATCTGGAGCCACCAATCCCCTCACTAGCCCTCTCTTGATCTCATGAAAGGGCTTAGTCCATTCTCTGGGGCCCCCAGCCCTCTAGCACTTGTCTGCCCACCGAAGCTCTGCTTCCACCTCCACCTCCCTCTGGATGCTTTCCCTGGCCCTCCTCCATTAGTCCTCACATGTCTTCATCTTGTGTTCCTTGTCTGGCTAAGTGTCTCCCAAACAACAAATCTTGGTGCTCATCCTTGACTTGCCCCTTCCCTCACTGTCCACAGTTACCAAGTCCTGTCAGATTTTAGCCCACAAATCTCATGGGTTCTTTCCTCTCTGCCCTCACTCCACAGTTGCCTTAGGAGTCTCCTGACTGGTCTCCCTGCCTCTAGGCTATCTGCATCCAACTGCTGGCTGGAGGGATTTACAGATTTACGGAGTAGGACCTTTTCATCTTCACATCTCTGCACTAAAGCTTTTGTAGCTTCTGGTTACCTACAGCATAAAACCTCAACTCTGCATCATAATACACACAGGCCCCCTCTGTCTTCTGCTTTCCCTCTGTCATTTCTCTTCCTGGTCTCCCACTCTCTCTTAGCATATGTAGCCTTACCAGACCACTCACTTTTTCCTGTACAGGCCATTCTCTTTCCAGGCACTGAAGAACATAGTGCAAGGTTTTTTTGAAATAAAGTCTCATGTAAATTTGATGTAAAAGTATAAAATGTCAATTTATATTTTTAAACTTTTTTTCCTGTACATTTTCAGATATAACTGGTAAAACACGCCAAAGATGTATAGAGATAACCAAAGAAAAGTTTGAGGAATTCAAAGAAGAAAATTTGCATCTAAACAATACAAATCAAACTCTTACCTTTGAACTTTATGTAATAAAACAAGGAATGAAAGAACTACAATTAAAACTTAAGAAAATGGAAAAAGAAAATGGAAGGCTGAAACAGGTTGAGAAAGCATCCTCTCAGGAAGGTTGGGACAAGTACATAGTTCTTTTATTAAAAGAAAAAAAATACTACTACACTCATTTTTTTGTTTGAGAGTTAATATTTTTATTTTGTAGTATTTGTTGATGTTTATGTTATTAACATTTGTGTTACGATATTTAAGTTTTTTTCGTTAATATCATTAAAATGTTGAAATTTGGTTTCATGTACTATGTCATTATTTTAAAAAATTTTATTTATTTTGTAGTTGTTGAGAATATACACAGCAAAACATATGCCAATCTAACATGTACCATTCAGGGATATTAATTAAATTTTTCGAGTTGTACAACCATCCACACCCTCCTTTTTGAGTTGTTCCCCTAAACTCACTGCTCCCTAAGGTTCCTATCTCATCATTTGAGCTGTTATTGTCACTTTGACCCCTTATAGATCTTAAAAAAGCGTAATGCTCGAGGCGGACCTTTTTTACTAGTTAAACTAAACTGCTGTGTGGTTTTATGATGACATCAGGGGATATTTTTGGTTTAAGGTTTAAAGATTATCTCAGGACAATTATTTGGAGTTCATCCAACCTTCATGGCTCCCAGAAGTCTGGAGTCCATGAGAATTTGAAATTCTTTTCTCCATTTTTCCCCTTTTGATCATGATTCTTCTATGGAATCTTTGCTCAAAATAGTCAGTGATGGTAACCAGGCACCATCCAGTTCTTTTCTCATGGCAAAGGAGACAGTTGTTCATGGAATTATTCTGTTTTCCCAGCACTATTTATTGAAGAGACTCTTCTTTCCCCAACAAATGCACTTAACATTCTTGTCAAAAATTTGTTGGCTGTAGATGTGTCAGTTTATTTCTACACTCTCAATTCTATTCCATTGGCCTATGTTTCTATTGTACCAGTAACAGCCTGTTTTGAATACAAACCATCCCCAGGTTATAAACAGATCTATTTCTTGTGTGTTTTTAAGTTGAATTTATAGGCAAATTGGAACGGTGCATACTGTTCTTATTTTGCCTTACTTAGTGCGAGGAAAAAAAGCACTCTGGTGGTGTAGTGATTAAGGCATTTGGCTATTAACCAAAAGGTTTGATGGTTCAGACCCACCAGCCATTCCACAGAAGAAAGATGGACAGTCTGCTTCTGTAAAGATTTACAGCCTTGAAAACCCAATGGGGATTGCTATGAGTAGTAATAGACTCAATGGCAGTGAGTTTGTTTTGGTTTGAGTGCAAGAAAACACTTAAAGCCTTTTCCAGGAATCAAAAGCCACAGTGCAGCAAGTGAGGATGATTGTGATGGATAATTTGTTGCAAGTAGGGTTTAATTCAGTCATTTCAAAGTGAGGGCAAATTCACCTAACATTAAAGGGCAAGTGCCAAGTTGGACATTTGTAACCTGATTTGTAACCTGGGGGCTTACTGTACTGTAGCTAGATGGTTGGTTTGTTTTAAAATCAAGAAAAATCCTTCCTACATTGTATTGCTCTTTAAACATTGATTTAGCTACTCAGGGCCTCTTGCCATTCCATAAAAATCAGGAATTGTTTTTTCTATTTCTGTAAAGAAGGCTGGTAGAATTTTGATTGAGATGGCATTGAATCTGTAGATCACTTTACATAGTATTGGTATCATAATAATATTAAATCTTCCAATCCATGGATATGGAACACTTTTTCATTTATTTAGGTCCTCTTTAATTTCTTTCAGCAGCTCTTTTTAGTTTTCATTGTATAAATTTTTCAGATGCCTGGTTATATTTATTCCTAGCTGTTTTGTTCTCTGAGATGCTATCATAAATGGAATTGTTTCTCTAATTTCCCTTTGAGATTTCTCATTGGTGGCTTAGTGCCTAAGGCATTTGACTGCTAGCCAGAAGGCTGGCAGTTCAAACCCACCGGCCACACCTCGGAAGGAAGGTTGGGCAATCTACTTCCATAGTGATATTGCCTGGGAAACCCAAGGAGGGGTCGCTATGAGTTGGGTCCAACTCCATGGCAGTGTGTTTGGGGTTTTTTTTTTTTTTGGTTTAGTATTTGGCAACCCAGCTGATTTTTGTTTGTTGACCTTATACCCTACAATTTTGGTGAGTTCCTCTATTGGCTCTAGAAGTTTTCTTGAGGAATCTGAGGTTTTCTAGAAATAGAATCATATCATCTGTGAATAGAGATAATTTTCCTCCTTTTCCAATCTGGATACTTTTTATTTGTTTTTCTTGTCTTATTGCTCTTGGTAGGATTTCTAATACAATATTGAATGGAAGTAGTGAGAGCTGGCACCGTTGTCTTGTACCTCATTTCAAGGAGAAAGCTCTCAGTCTTTTTCCATTAAGTATAATGTTGGCTGTTGGCTTTCCACATATGCCTTGAATCGTATTTAGAAATTTCCTTTCTTTCCATTCTTTCAGAGTTTTCATCAAAAAAGAGTGTTGGATTTTATCAAATGATTTTCCTGTATCCATAAAGATGATCATGTGGCTCTTTTCTTTTGTTGTATCGATGTGGTATATTTCATTGGTTGATTTTTTATGTTGAACCATCCCTGTGTTCCTGGAATAAATTTCACTTGGTCTTTTATTAGGCTTTTGGATTCTGTGCACTAGTATTTTGTTGAGGGTTTTTGCATCTATATTCACAAAAGAGGATCCTTGGTGGTACAGTGGTTAAGATGCTCAGTTGCTAAGAAGATCAGCCATTTGAACCCATCAGCTACTTCACAGAAGAAAGATGGCAGTTTGCTTCTGTAAAGATTTATAGGCTTGGAAACAGTATGGGACAGTTATACTTAGGGTTATTATGAGTCCGAATCAATTTGATGGCACTGGGTTTTGGTTTTGAGTTATTCATAAGAGATATTGTCCTGTAATTTTTTTTCTTCTTCTTCTTATGATGTCTTTTTCTTGTTTGACTGTCAGGGTTATATTTGTTTCATGGAATGAATTAGGGAGTACTCTTTCTTTTTCTGGAGAGCTCTGGTAGCCTAGTGGCTAAGGCACTTGACTGCTAACCAGAAGGCTGGTGGGTTTGAACCACCAGCCACTCCTCGGAAGGAAGGTTGGGCAATCTACTTCCGTAGTGATACCACCTTGGAAACCCAAGGAGGGTCGCTATGAGTCGGGTCCGACTCGACGGCACATCACAACAACACAACAACTTTCTTTTTCTATCTTTTGGAAGAGTTTAAACAGTATTGGTGTCATTTTTTCTCTAAATGCTTAGTGGAATCCCCCAGTGAAGCCATCTGGTCCAGGACTTTTTTATGTTGGAAGGATTTTGATGACTGATTCAATCTCTTCAGTTGTTACAGGTCTGTTGAGACTTTCTATTTCCTTTTGAGTCAATTTGTGTAGGTTGTGAGCTTCTAAGAATTTGTCCATTTCATCTAGTTGTCCAGTTTGTTCACATACAGTTTTCATAATATTCTGTCATAATTGCCCTCATTTCTATTGCATCAGTTTTTCTTTTGGTTATTTGCATCTTCTGTTTGTCTGTCTGGCTAATGGTTTGTTAATATTACTGATCTTTTTGAAGAATTAATTTCTAGTTTTAGTTATTTAATTTTTCTGTTTTCAGTTTTATTTATTTATGCTCTGATCTCGTTATTTCCTTTCTTCTGATTGGTTTAGGCTTAGTTTACTCTTCTCTTTCTAGTTTCTGGATTGTCAGATTAGGCTGTTGATTTGAGATCTTTCTTCTTTCATCATGTAGTCATTTATTGCTGTAAGTTTCCCTTTGAGTACTGTCATTGCTGTATCTCTTAAGTTTTGGTATGATGTGCTTTCATTTTCCTTTAACTTTAGAAAGTTTGAGATTTCTCACTTGACCCATTGGTAGTTTAATAGTATGTTGTTTATTTTTCATATGTTTGTGTGTTTTCCAGGTTATTTCTGTTACTGATTTCTAGCTTCACTCTTGTGGTCAGCGAAAATACTTTGTATAATTTTAATCTTTAAAAATTTATCAAGACTTGTTTTGTGATCAAACATGATCTATGCTGGAGAAAGAGCCATGTACACTGCAGTAGAATGTATGTTGTGCTGTTTTTGGGTGGAGGATCCCTTTATATGTTATGGATTTTTTTTTTCCTTTTTTGTATACATAGTATTTTTTCAGTTTGTTGATAAAGTCATAGATTGTCTTTGTTTTCTAACTAATATCCGTGGAATCAAATCCTTTTTAACTCTAAGATTATGTAAATATTTACTAATATTTTCTCTATACATTTTTCTATCTGTTTAAGGCAATATTATGGCCTTAAGTAAGACAGAGTAGTTTTCTTCACACATGGCTGAATGTTTCTTGTCCTAAGCACATTTATTCCTAGATACTTTGTATTATTTATGTTGTTACTTTGTAGGACTTATTTTCTGTTAGGTTTTCTAACAGAAAATTGTTATTAAATAGGAAGACTGTTCTAATAATTCAATGTTATATGCTTCTCAAGACTTTTCATACATACACACATATAATCTTAAACAATGAACTTTTTATTTTATTTTATTTTTAATAATTATTTTGAAGTGTTCCTTCGCCTCCTCTCCCACTCCTAGTAATCAACGAAGAAATTCTCTTCCATATATAAACCTTTCCCTGACTTTTTACAATAATGAACTAATACAATATTTGTCCTTGTGTGATTGACTTATTTCACTCAGCATAATGTCCTCTAAGTTCATCCATGTTATGCGGTATTTTGCGGATTCTACATTATTCTTTAGTGTTGCATAGTGAAACAATGAACTTTTAAATTTAACTTTTATTTTAATCTACATGAAAATTTTCCAAGTCAATGTTGACTATTCAGTGTTTAAAAAACTGTGTAATTTTTATTCATTTATATTTATATATTTCCCATTCATTGCCTCTATGGCCCTAAAAAGGGAAAAATAGGCAGTTAACATTTTATGTAAAATTTTATAAATTTGATATGATTTCTTATAATACGAAATTGTTTGTTTGTTTTCAGAAGTGGCTATGCCTGAATTACTTTGTCTAAGAAAACAAGTTGAAGAACTGGTGGATGAAAATGATGGATTGAAAATGACTATCCATCGTTTGAATGTAGAGCTGAGTAGATATCAGACAAAATTCAGGCATTTGTCCAAAGAAGAGGTAATGTTTCCAATTAAGGAAAACCAAATTTTTTTTTTTGTTTGTTTTACTGTTGAATTGATTTACAATCCGAGGGGTTCTTATTTTTATAACTTAGTATAAAAAAAGATACTTCCAAAGTAAGGTGTTTCTAGGCCTTTCTGTTTTCTTCTCTCCTTCCCCATTATAAATATTGACAATAAAAGTTCCTTGTAAAATATTGGAACAATCTAGAAGTAGAAGTGGGTGTTCTACTTTCAATCTCATTCCTCAAGATTACAGCTGTTGTTAGTTCATAAGTACATAAACTTTGAAATGAAAGTGAACTAGTTTTTACTTTGTAAAATGGATTAAATAATTCAACAAACTTTTACCGAGCAAGCCACTAAGTTAGACTCTATATTGGTTCCCTGTGGCTGCTGTAATACTTTACCACAAACTTGGTGACTTAAAACAGCAGAAATGTATTTTATTCTAGTTCTATTCTATTCTTCTGAGGCCAGCAAGTTGTTGGCAGAGCTTTGCCTCCTTAAGGCTCTAGGAAAGAATCCTTCCTTGATCTTTTAGCTTCTGATGACTCCCAAGTATTCCTTGGTTTGTGGCTGCATCACCCCAGTCTACCTGTCCACATTCCCTTCTCCTATTCTGTCTTCTCCTCTTTTATTATAGGGTCATCTGCCATTGGATTTAAAGTCTACTCATAAAATCCAGGATGGTCTTAAGATTATTAATTATATCTGCAAAGATCCTTTTTTCAAATACGGTCACAGTCACATTTCCAGGGATTAGGATATGGACAGATCTTTTGGTGGACCACCATTCAACCTACTGTATATGCTGTGAGGAATAAAAGATGAACCAGAAGGTCGGGTCCTTGCTCTTGGGGAGGATGCAGAGCTGACTGGCCTTTGCTAGGGGTGAGGGAGATAAACATACAAAGTTGTTGTGTGGCATGTGAGAATTAGGGGAGCCACGTAGGCTTCCGATTTGAGTATCAATGATTGTTTTTGATAGAATTTTTTTTTGGAAGTATGAATTAGTTTAAACTTTAATAACCACTTTGAGATATAATTCATAAAACATAAAATTCATTTAAAATGTACAGTTCCTTGCCTTTTCATGGATTCAGAGAGTTGTTCAACCATCATCACAATCAATTTTAGAATATTTTTCTCACCTCAGCAAGAAACCTGTACCATTAGCAATGACGTCTCCCTCTCTCTTCCCCTAGCCTCTGGAACCACCAAACTACTTTTCCATCTCTATGAATTTTCCTATTCTGAATATACCATATAAATGGAATCAATCAATATAGTCTTTTGTGACTAACATCTTTCACTTAGCATAATATTAACTTCTTTTAAAAAACAAAAAAAATTCCAGTACTTGGGATCACATAATATAGAACATGCTTCCTCACTCTCTAGTAGACACTTGTTAATTTGGTGATGGTAAAGTTACCACTGAATGTGGTTGAAGTGGGCATAGCTTGACAAGTTCAATGATACTACCAAGATGTACACAAGAGAAAAGGACGTTTTGATTAGTACTATGACATATATAATTTTACAACAATAACAGTAATAATAAAATGTATGTGTAGAAGAGAATCCAAGATGGTGCGCTAGACAGATATACAATTCAGACCCTCCAAAACAAAGACTTGAGGAACTAAGCGAAACAGATGTAGATGACTGTCTTGGAACCCAGAGCTTCAAAGGAAAGGATAAAGAAATAGATCAAATACCGATTAGAGGAAGAGACTGAATGAAAACAGTGAACAAAGAGGAATGGCCACTTTGAATTATTGCAAGCAGCGTTCAGATCGGGGCAAGAACAAAATAAATGGCTCTGTTCACTAGGACTGCACTGGCACCCACATCAGTGAAAAGCAACCAGAGAGGTGTGATCTGCCCCCTTACCCTGCACAACCCCCCAGTGATCAGAGGTGTAGACCCCACTCCCACCCACTTGGCTGCAAGTAAAATCCATTCCCCACTGCCAGTACTGTGCCACTTCTCATTTTTCTTTTCTTCTTTCTTTATCCCTCATCTTAGTATGCCCCCCCCCCTTTTTATTTCTTGTTCTTCACTCCCTCACCTGTATTATTATTATTTTTTTTTTGGATCCCACAAAGCACATGCACACCTCCTGCTGCCTCCATGGTCAGCAGTGCCCACCCCTACCCCTCCTTGGCTGACAGTGTTCATTCTTGTGGAGTAAGCACTGCATGCCCCCCTTGCCATGTTTGGCAACAAGCACTTTCCCCATCACTGTGCTGCTTTTTTTGTTTTTTCGTCTTTCTTCTTAGTTCTTCCCTCTCCCTGCCCTCTCTTTTTTCTTTTCTTTTCTCCTTCTTCCCCCAATTGATTTTTTAATGCTGTGGGACAAGTGCTCACCTCCTTATCCACTGACTCATGGTCAGCAGTGCCTCCTCCCACCACTCTGTGGATGGTGATGCATGCTCCCAAAGAGTGAGCTCTGCATTCTTGGCACAGGTGTTTGACAGTTAATCCTTACACCAGAACCGTGCCACTTTTCTTGTTCTTTTATTCTTTTTTCTTCTTAGTTCTACCCCTCCCCTCCTTGGTTTTTTTTTTTTTTTTTTTTTTTTTTTTTTTTTTTTTTCCTGTGGAGCGAATGCTACATTCCTGCAGTAGCCATGTTTGGCAGCTAGAGCTCGAACCAGTACTGTCTCTCTTTCCTTTTTCTTCTTTTAGGACTTCCCTCTTATCTTCCTCCTTGGTTTTTCTTCTTTTATTTTTCCCCCTTTTTCTCTCCACCCCCTCTCCCCCTTATCTTTTCCTTTTTTTCCCCAGCAGTTGGGAGCCAGTGACCCTACCCAACCATACCTGCCACACCAGCCACCCCACCCACTGGACAAGTGCCACCACCCATCCCAGCACCACTAGATCATCGACAGACAGCAGCAAACACCTGCCCAGGATGCCTTCAGCCTCTCTACATGACCATTTATCAGAAACTCATGCCCACACTCTCACCCACTACCAAACCCACCCAAAGGAAGGTAGTGAGTGCCGCAGCGCTGCCAAACTAGCAACCAGAGTAGCACTCTTGCCCCATTCCCCAGATATATCAAAACAAAACAATACAAAAAAAAAAAAAAAAGTGAAGCAAACCAATATGTGTCAAAGACTATAGACACTTCAAATCTCACACACACACACAATCAGGACAAGATGGTTCAAGTAAGTAACCAAACTACAGGAACAGAAAATATTGTGAAGAAGAAATGCTATTGGAAATGCCTTATAAGGAATTAAAAAGAATTATATTACAGTGCCTTCAGTAGTTTGAGAGAAAGATCCAGGAAACTACACACAAAATTATGGAAAACACAGACAAAACTATAGAAGAACTCTAAAAAAAAAAAAATACAAGAAAAAATTGACAAAATAAATGAAAAATTAAAAACCGCACACAAACTGCAGATCCAAATCCAATATTTTAATATTTCAGAAATAGATAATGCATTGGAAGGGCACAGGAATAACACTGAATTAATGGAAGACAGAATTAGTGAAATTGAAAACAAATCTCTTAATATTAATCCATTAGAGAAAGAACCAGGAAAAAAGAAGACAAAAGCGTAAGAATTATGTGGGACACCATCAGTAGGAATAATTTACATGTGATTGGGATATCAGAACAGAAAGAGCACCAAGAAAATTCTCAAAGATTTGTTGGTAGAAAACTTCCTAAATACCATGAAAGAGTATAAGATATACACTCAAGAAACTCAACAAACCCCAAATAGGATAGACTCCAAAAGAAAATCACCAAGACATAGCTTAACCAAACTTTCCAAACCAAAGCAAAGAATCCTGATAGCAACTTAGGAAAAACAAAGTTCATACAAAGGAAAACCAGTAAGACTAAGCTCTGATTTCTCAGTGCAAACAGTGCAGGTAAGAAGTCAATAAGATAACATATAAAACTGTAAAAGAAAAAAATTGCCAACCAAGAATTATATTTCCAGATAAACAGAAATTAATGAACTTTGTAAAAACCAGACCAACCATACAAGAGATGCTAAAAGGAGACTTTCAGACAGAGAACAAACAATGGCAGACAACAAACTGAGATTGATGTACAGCACCATCACCTGAAAATAAACCAGATTGAGAAGTATCCAAATAATATAAACCTATAAGACTGAAAGTAGGAAATCAGAGACATCAATTTGTAAATGAGGACAACTACAAAATAAAAAGAGGAAAGAAATGGTGTCATTTCAGAACTTCCAAATAAAGAGGAAGTCAAGATGATATTGAGATAGAACAGACTGTTTTACACTTGGGAAGATAATAATAAATTCCAGGGTAACCTCAAAGAAAATGAACCTTCTCATCAAAATAAAAAGAAAGTCATAAAGACCCGGTAAACACTAAAAACAGAAACTAAGAAGATGATAACAAAATCCATAAACAAAATGAATCAACACAGAAATATATAAAGAAATCATCAACACTACACATACACACTAAATACAGCAACATGACAGCAGTAAATTCATACCTATCGATAATTACACTAAAGGTGAGTGGATTAAATGCAAGAGACAGAGAAACAGAATGGATAAGAAAACATGACCCATCAATATGGGTCTACAAGAGATGCACCTTACACACAAAGACAAAAATCAGCTAGCTAAAAAATAAAATGATGGAAAAACATATCAAGCAAATGGCACCAAAGGAAAATGAGTGGCAATATTGATATCTGATAAAATAGTGTTTAAGACAAAAACTAGCATAAAATACAAGTAGGACATTGTATAATGATTAAAGGGTTAGTCCAACAAGAGAACATTACCATAATAAACCTCCAAACATATCAGGAAATAGCCCTAAAATACATAAATCAAACTTTAAAAGAATTAAAAAGAGCAATCGACAAGTCCACAGAAGATACAGCAACACAATCGACCAACTAGACTTTGTAGATGTATAAAGAACACTCCACCCAACAACACCACAATATATGTTCCTTTTCAGTGC